CAAAAGATTAGTTTCATCAGATATCACTAAACACATGAACGAATTACATATTATTTTTTAAAATGAACAATACATATAAATTTAAATTTAAACTATCTAATTAATAAAAACAAAATACAATTTGTCATATATTTATCAATATAAGATTAAAGTAATTTTTTGTACAAATGATATTCACTATGAAATTTACGTAATAAACGGTCCAAATTATCATCGTTGATCCAAAATAAAACTCACAAAATGAAGTATAAAGGAATATAACAAGGATAATAGTATGAAGAGCCATCATCCCCCCCCTTATTTTCAGGTAAAGTACTAATAAATCTCAAAATATAATTTTATATACTGTTTAGTCTCTTTTTTTTTTTTCTTATGCACTTAAAGGTCTCATTAAAGTAAAAATTATACAAAATGATAGTCACTATACGTTTGGATTTAATTTTTAGGAATAAAAATGGATTTTTCTAAATGTGAAATTACATATTTAGGCAATCCGCACTATAGAGGTTTTGGATTTTCCCTCATTTGATAACAAATCCCACATTATAAACAAAAACGTAATACTCAATACACTAAAAAACTCATTAATGTACTTTTATCAAACGTAACAATGTAGCACTCTAAAAAAATTCCTTAATATACTTTTTCTCAAACGTAACATTCCAATGAAACATACAAAAAAACTTCTTAGTATACTTTTTCCAAACACAACACTTCAATCGATATAATTTCAAACGTAACACTTCAATGTAACAAACATAAAAACATTAAAAAAAACTTTTTAATGTATTTTTTTCAAACATAACATTTATAGTTTGAAATTATACATTTATCCAAAGCTTACTGAGGAATTTTTTTACTCCTTTTGGAATGGTTTGAAGAATCCCACATCATTTTTTTAGAGTGCTATATTTGGAAAAAAATACCCTAAGGAGTTTTTTTGTGTGTTACACTAAAGAGTTTTTTTGGAGTGTTAAATTTGAGAAAATGACCAAATGAGTTTTTTTGGAGTGTTATGTTATTGCAATGTTACAATTTGAAATTATACTTTTGCCCAAAACTTATTAAGGTATTTTTGTACTCCTTTTGAAATGTTTTACAAATAAAAAAGATAGCCATATAAAAATTTATCCCAAATTTGATTATCATAGATTGTGTATCTTACCATTCTAGCACAAAAGAAAAAAGAAAAAAAAAAAAGAAGAAAAAGAAGTAAACATAATAGAAATAAGAAAAATGGTAGAGGGCCACAAAAACAGTGGCTCAAATGGCTCAAAACTGTCAAAACGGTATTACTGTAGAAATAAGGGTATAATCACAAATATAATTTCTAAATAATATATTAAATCTGTCTTTCCAAAATCAATGAGACTAATTAATCTATAAGAAAATCATTGGGACTAAATGAATCACCATTCCTCAATATATAATTTATAGGTAAATTTTCTTATTTTTAGGGTAAATTACACTTTGTCCATTTTATGTTTGATCACTTTCTCATTCTCATTCTTAAGGTTTTTTTTTTTTTAACCTTCGGCCCTTACGTTTCAAATTTTTCATATTTTACTTCTAAAGCTAATTTCTATTCAAAATTAGACAGGAAATGCCATAAGAACTATCCCATAACATAAAAAATCTATTATTATATTAGAATTTAAATTTATGGAGTATTAGATATGTGAACAATATAAAATAAAATATTTTTATACCATGTGATTGTTAATTTATCATTTTCTGGTTAATTTTTAACATAAATTAATTTTAAGAGTAAATTTGAAAAAATTTAAAACATTAAGGGTCAAAGAGAGAAAATGTAAATGTTAAGAACCAAAGTTAGAAAATGATCAAACAAGGGGACAAAGTGTAATTTATCTTTTTTTTTATATCGAATCCCTTTCTTCTTAATTAAAAAGAAGAAAGAAAACAAAAAAATTTGAGAGCTCAGATGCGCTATGATTTCGTCCGATTAATATCAGACGGTTGTGAAGGACCCATCCATCACGGTGGGCGCAGATGATTCGTCACTGCTCTCAGAGTATTGCACCAGCCGGGAATCGAACCCGGGTCTGTACCGTGGCAGGGTACTATTCTACCACTAGACCACTGGTGCTTTTTGTTTTCTCATCTCACAATATATGATATATCTCTGATTCTAATGCCTTTCACTACATTATTAATAAGTACGTATTAGAGGACTTGTTTTGTGAACTTCACTATAAGTTAAAAATTAATAATAAAAAAATAATTAATTTTTATTTATTTATTTAAGTTATTTATACTTCATAAGTTACAAACAAAAGCGCCATCAATTAGTTTGATAGAAACTCACGTGATAACAAATGAGAAATATTATAGAGTGTGTACCATATGTAAGTTATTTTATTTGTAAGTTTGATTATCACAAATGATGCAATTCAATATTATAAGATTCATAATTAAAAAAAAATTGAGTTATAACTAAACATCACATAAGGTATAATTAAACAACTTTTACATCATAATCAAAATTTTGTCATAACTAACATCACAATATATCATAATTAATAACATGATAAATTATAACCACTAACTCAAAAGCCGTAACTAAAGTTAGATGTGATACACACAAAATTTCTCATGAAATATATATACATATATATATTATAAACACTTCAAATAAGCTATAACAAAATTCAACTATAACTGTTGCATTTTACATTCTAACCTATTCAACTACATTCCCTCACATTGGTAAAAATATGACAATGTCGTGATTTTTTGTTTTCTTGTTTTTGTTGAAAGTGTTTTAATCCCACCTTAGAGCATTTGCAGTGGATATGTTAGTGGGGAAGTTAGTGTCAGATGTTAAATTTTTAGCTAATTGAGGTTAAAAAATTGGCCCCAATGAAATTGTTAATGTATTAGTTAAGACTGTCTAATATTAATCAATTGATTAACTATGACTGGTCACTCAACAAACAAAATAAAAGGAGGGGGGGAGAAAGGGGCAAATATAGGAGAGGAGTAGGAGTGTAAAAATGACATACGGTTCGCAGGTGATTCGAAATTCACTTGTGGCTTGGGATAGGCTTGGCCCGATTAGGTCCAGACCTGAGCCCAGCTCGAGACCCTGGGCTGGCCTGTGACCGTTCAAGACCCACTCCAAACACTATCTGAAAGGCGTGAATACTCTCTAGGTTTGTGCCTAATTTTCTAACCTACATATTTTTAAATTAACAAACTTTTAATACATATTTTTAAATTTCACTTTTATTATTTTTTGTGATATGCCACATTTTAAAACATAATTTTACTCAATACTCTTATTGTTTCCAGTGTAATTATTTCACCATCCCAACCAAGTGAGTATTCACATCAACTCAATTGTTGTTTGAGCAACCGCAATCTTTATCATCAAACATAACAAATTCCAAGTCCTACGAAAAAAATAATAAATAAATAAATAAATTATAAATATACCTTTTGAAGTTTAATTAAAATACGAATTTTCTTTCATAGTTCTAAAAATTACATTCAAACTTTGAGATTTCTAATTTCATAAAAAATCGTCATTTTTATTAATAAATTATCAAGTCATTTAAGAGTTTTTAATGATATTCAAAATATGTTTCAATTAGTAATTTAGATAATTTTATTATTGAGCTGTTATGAATTTCTTTTTTTAGTTAATTTTGTTAAATAAAAAATTTTGACAAGTGGATACTATAATTTTCCAAATCATAAGAGATAATTTGTATTTTAAATAATTTTTATAAGATATATTTGTAATTTATTCTAAAATGAAAAAAATAAAATAAAATTGTGAGTTATAACACATATATTTTTTAAATTATATAAATAAAATAGTAAATGATTTAAATATTTTTTAGTACACCCAACTGGATATTAGATTACATATTTTGTATCAGGTGTTAGTGGATGTCCAAAATTGTCATCCACAGAATAGTTTGCTTTAAAAAAGGTGAAAGCAAAATGTTAAGGGTGAGCACCATCTGGTTTGATTTGGATTGGGATGAAATCAAAATTAATTTATTATTTATAATTTTATAAAAATTAGAATTAAATTAACCTATTTTAATTATTGAATCAATATGAATTAAACTATTTAAACATAGTTCGGCTTAATTTGAAATTACAATTTCACATAATTTGTTCATAAGAAAAATCATATAATATTTTTTTAAAAAAGTATAAAACTCTCATCAAATATAACATTTTCAACTTAAACACATATATTGTTTCATCATTAATTTAAATAAAGATAATGTCTACTAAATAAACATATTGTTCAACATATAGAAAACATAAAACTTCCATCAAACAAATATTTTGTCTTGGAAAACAACAATTATGGTAAGATTGTATGCATTAGGGTGTATAGTAGGTATATGATTTAAGTTACAAACAGTGCGATTCGATTCCAATCTAGAATCGTGAAGTTAAATCCAAAACTGATTTGTGGAGATCGGTTTTTAAATTTTCCAAACCAAGATCAAACCAAATCTATCAAATTGGATTGGATCGGCTCAGTTTGCAAATTTTTTGATTTTTTTTGCCCTACAAAAGATAATATAAAACAAGTTCTGAATCATTTTTATAGTTGAGAGAGTACAATAATATTTGCTAATAATTTGATATAAATAATCCAAAATTTAAAGCAAACACCATATGAATAAGGCCGGGTAAACGGGTCAGGCGAGTTACCGCCTCGTGTTGATCCCAGGGACTTATCGGATTATAGGGTTTCAAACGGCCCCTATATAAGGTCTCCCACATTCTCATTTCACTCTCTGCAAAACCCTAGAGAGCGGAAGAGCCGTCGGGCCAGCCTTTGAAGCAAGGGTTTCACCAGAGAATCAGAAGCTATTCATCAAGATGGTACATCTCTTGAATCTTATTTTTCAATTTGATTCATATTTATCATTATTTCTCATCGATCGATCAAATCCCTGAATCTATATGTGTATTCTGTTCAGACTTTCAAGCGAAGGAACGGGGGTCGCAACAAGCATGGCCGTGGCCATGTCAAGTTCATCCGCTGCTCCAACTGCGGCAAATGCTGTCCCAAGGTCCTCTCTCTCTCGCTAAAATGTTTGTGAATCGATGAATATATATATATATATATGTTTAGATCTTTACGAAATGCGATTGATCTGAGTTTCTGTGTCCGTTAGAAAGTTTATTCGATGTTTCTCTAATTGTGGGTTTGATTGTAAAGTATGAAGCTATTTGAAAGATCCATTTCTCTATGTGCATTATGTGCCCTATGGATTAGATTTGTTGGGATTGTTATTTGTATAGCAAACATGTTAGGAGTCTGGCTCCAAACCCTTTGTGTCCTCCTTGCCCAATGTAGTTTGCCTCTTGTATCAATTTCGTCATGGTAGTTCTAATTGCGTCTATTTTACCTTTTGAAATTTCACTTTTTGTCAATTTAGTTCAATTGACAATTACCCTTTTCTAATTGGACTCAAATTAATGGACAAAATAATCTATTCACTTTCAAAGTAATTCAGGTGGGGTTGTCTAATTTTAAATAGGCCTTTCCCTTCTAAATGGATTATTTTGCCCTTGAATTTTGATCAATTTTTAGTCGAATGTAAAAAAATAAATAAAAAATTAATGGGAAAACTTGATACAATTTAAACTACATGGATCAAATTGACAAAAGAGACAAATTACAGACTAAAATTATGCCAAAAGTCTGATCTTTGCATTCTTTTTTTAATTAAGCCCCTAGACTAATTTTGGTTCAGTTAAACCCTCTAACTTCTCAAATTAATTAAATTTTGTTATATTTTGGTCACTTTTTGACATTAAATACATAGATAAGTTGGTAAAATTAATCATAAAATCATTTTCCTAATATTTTTTGAGGTTGATAATGGATATGTTTTATACATAACAGAGGGTTTTCGGGTTAATTTTATAAATTTATCTTTTAGGTTTGTCTTATACGATATCCTTAATTGGCAAAAGTGAACAGAATGTAATAGTAAGGGCTAAATTGGACTGATTTAGAAAGTTGAAGGGCTTATTTAAACCAAATTTTAGTTTTGGGGCTTAATCGGAAAAAGTTGCAAACTTTGGGGATTCATGTATAATTTACTCGTCTTGTCTAATCTGCTAAATGGTTTGGAATACTTCTATTATTCAATTAATTTAGGTTGATATGAAGTTATTAACACTAAATGGTGTTCCTTGATTTCAGAAATAAAAATGTGGCTATGCATGTTTGCCCTTGAGTTGGTTGATAGAAACCTTTGGTTTTATTTTGTTTAATCTTGGTCTCTCTTAGGACAAAGCCATCAAGAGGTTTCTTGTGAGGAACATTGTTGAGCAAGCTGCTGTTAGGGATGTCCAAGAAGCCTGTGCTTTTGACAGTAATACTTCTATTTTTCTCTATTTGGCTTTCTAATTTAGAAGTTCATATTATTTTACTGTTTGTTGTGATTATTTACTTGGACAGACAATCATGATTATGATTAATGACTTTTTGTTTTGCCTCTGATTAAGGTTACACATTACCCAAGCTGTATGTGAAGATGCAGTACTGTGTGTCGTGTGCTATTCACTCCAAAGTTGTCAGGGTTCGCTCTCGCACTGATAGGAGGAACCGTGAGCCTCCACAGCGCTTCAGGCGCAGGGTATGTTAACCTTGAGTTGTTATGTACTCTTGCCTTTGTTGGTTTGACTTATTTTCCATTTACACCATTGTTCTTTCTGTAATCCTTATAGTCTGTTACATTTCATTGATTTTGTGTAATATCATATTGCTGTATGAGTTAACTTTGTAAATGATAACTGGCTTGGGATCCTTGTGCATATTGCCTTCGATTTGTATTCAACATAATTCTATTATTCTGCCCCAACATACAACTAAGGTTGGGTATGAGTTGGATTTGAAGTGATGTGGTAGAGAGATAATGTGACTTAAATAAGATGATGTGATTTAAATAGGATAATGACTTTTTGACTTTTTTTGATTATGCCAAACCAAGCCTAAACATGACCTATTTTGCACCAGAACTTGACAGGTTTTGTCTGATTGCCCAACCTTTTTTTTTGTTTCCATTAAAATTTGACATCATATGCATGGTCTTTTTGGTGAGCTTCATCTTTCATGTTACACAACCAATTTTTAATAGCTTAGGATGTAGTGTAGTTGCATTTTTGGCATACAATGTATTTGTTTAGGTAGAATGTGGGTCATCTTTTACGGTGTCCTTTCTTTGGAATTATATGTATTGGTTACTTGTTTCTCTAGAGCCTACTTATTTCAGTTTGGGATATTAAACTTGGTTTCTCACCCAATAAGGTGGTCCACTCACACTTGAGTGAGCCAATAGGCTCTTCTCTACACATTCGTAGTATGGTACATGTCTGTTGTGATCATCCTTGTGCTACTTAATATGCAGTACCTATGTATTTTACCCTTCACTGTCTCCACCGATGCTTTCTAATTAGTCTTGCTCTGATTTAGTAATCACTATTGCTTTTCAACTTTCTTCTGCATCATCTGCTGACTTTGTCTTAGTTGTCTTGGTTTCTCACTTGTGTAGTTGAAAGTGTTGAGTTTTTTTTTTCTCTATATACTGCATTTCTTCTTTGTAATTTTCTTCTTTTTGTTGTGTCAGGATGATATGCCAAAGCCAGGTCAAGCACCACGCCCTGCTGGTGGAGCACCAGCTCCTCCTCGTACCTAAAAAACCACTGCTTGTTTTGGTCTAGTACTGAGCTTTGGTTATATTTAGGTGGAGTTTCATTATGGCTTTTATATGAGAACCTTTTGATCTTAAGCATTACTTTTGTTTTAGTTGTATCTCGGTTAATACCATGCTAAATTCAATGGGATCCACAGTTTTTGCATTTTTAGTGAAATTTTGTCTTTGTTTGTGACTTCCATTCGAATTTATTTGTACAAGCATCATTTCATTGTGAGACCTTGCTTTTTGTGTAATTGGAAGAGTTGGAAAAATTAATAATTTTTGTCGAGTTAGGTTATTTTTGGTTGTTGGCTCATAATCGTTTGGCAAAATACGAGCAATGGAAAGGGTTTGTTCTACAAATGTTTATTTTTTTTTTAATATTTTTTTTTGGCAGATAGACCATTCACTTTCACAACTTGTTTTTTTTTCCTTTTTTTTATTTCTTTTGTTTTGTGGTGCAACATTGGCTAAATACTGCAGCTTGGTGTCATGTTTATGTTGTGTTCTGGATTTGTTTGTGCATTCGTGCCTTTTTATAGCAATAATTTAGGGAGGGTTACCCCCCCCATTTTGTAATATGTAATTTCTCTTTTAATATTCGAATTTTTAAGTCGATATTTCACCATTTATGACGCTTGTTTGTTGTTAATTGAACAATAACCATTCTTATAACACTTGTTTGTCGTTAATTGAACAATAACCATTTTCATAATAGACTAACTTGCATTGACAATTCATAGGGAAAAGAAACCACGCTGGCAGATTGTCATTACCATCTAACTTTCAATTATAAACATTTGGCATTGGGTATGGAAAAGAGGGAATATTTTATCAACCTTAATACTCTTTTGTTTGTATCTTAACTTCAACTGAGAAAATAAATTAGGCAAAGTAAGTTTAATACAACTGAAATCACTTGTTGAAACATCTTCAACAACATCAGTTTTTATATTGTAACTTTCATTTAAAACTTGAACATTATAAATAAAAATACATAAATTAATGTTCTAAACTGTTTTAAAGTACATTTGACTCCTTAATGTAATTTTGTATTCTTTTTCACTAACAGTAGTAACCACTAAATATATGGCACCCTTTTGAATACTTTCAACATTTCTTAATAGTGTATCTTTGTAGTCTGTCCAAATATCAATTGGGAAGAACTGGTTTACAACTTTTATCCCGTGACGAACGTACTCTTTGTCTTTGCCCTCAACGAGCTTGAATCTCTTTTTCTTTAGCATTCAAAACTGGTCGGAGTGGTCAGGATCAACAATTCAAGTCTCAGGATTACCCTCATCAACTCCAATAAATATCTTGTCAGGTGTGGGGACGGAATTTGACGGACTATTATCATTTATGACGAAAAATAATACGTGGTGGGCCATAGTTTCGTCTTTAGCATCTTGTCTCAATTGAACATTTCCAATTAATTTTATACCCTTAACCACGATCTTGTTTGATTGACGATCACATTTCTTATTACCCAACTCAATACCATTAAGTAATCTCGCCATACCTTTATTATCAAATTTAACGTCACTTAATTGTTCATTGTATAGTTATAACTTCCTTACTCTCCTCTTAGTCTTCTCAATATATTGGGGAATATTTTGAACATACCGTCGGCAAATGTACACTGCCTTAAAAGGTGCACGACCACGGTAACTACGCTTATATCTACTGGCTGTCGGTATTCTTGACCGATGGTACGTAAGGGGAGTTCAATACTGACTGCTCATATCTCATTCTATTTTTTCTAAAAACATTCCAAATCTTTTATCCTACAAATTCTGTAGATTCTCTTATCTCTACTAACCTTTCTGTTCGGATACCTTAGCTTTGATATTTTTTCCCTCTGCTCCTCGTATCCACGAACAAACTTCGCTGGAGTTGACCGCTGCCTTCTTTCCCATAATCCTATTTGCTACGTCAAAAAATGATTTATACACATCTGAGTGAACTGCTCTTAATTCTAGGGATACTTTTCTAAGGAGTACAACATTGTATACCAAAACAATCAACAAAAGAAAAAAGACTGAAAAAGAGGGACGATACAAGGTACCAAAAAATAATTTCACCACAATAGCTATCCCACTGCAAAAGCATATTCCTCTCTGCCATAAAATGTGTTATGATACCAAATATATAGCAAAATTGACCCGCGTGTAAGGACGAAGATTCCCCATTCAAAATAATTCAAACACATTTATTTTCCCGTCTTTGCTTTATGTCTATCATTCTGCAAGAATAATTACTTTACAACCACGCAAACCACCAGAAAGTGACACGTGTATAGCACTTTCTGGCAAAGGAATCAAAAGTACTCACACCATTTACACCTGGGCCCGAGTGTGACTTCCTTTTAACCACATCCATACACGTGTCCATAAGTACAACAATGGACGGCCAGATCAGCAGGAGGGGGGCTGCTGGTAATATTAATACTGCGCCCCCTCCAGTCACACCACTCATACCAGATTTTTTAACTAATAGGGCGGCCTTGTACAGCTGGTGTGAGTTCACTGTTTACCACTACAAAATGCCTCGCCAAGCTTCTTTCCGTTTCTATGCCAAGAATGTTTGGAGGGAAGACAACCGGATTAGCTTAGGGATACACAAAAATAATATTAACAATTTATATACTGACGAAGAACTCTCCTCCTCCTCTGATAACAGGAACCAAAACAGCGGCCCATCCGTCTTATCTCCCTCTACCTTGAAGGACCCTCAAGAATAGGCAAAACTGCATGGGCCAGAAGTCTCAGACGACACAATTATTTCTCCGACAGAATAAACTTCAAGGATTACGACCAAGACGCCATCTACAACGTCATAGACGACATCAAATACTCGACAGTCTCTACCGAATTAATGAAAAATTTAGTAGGCTGCCAGAGAGATTTCCATGTATTTGTTAAATTTCAACCAGATCTCACTATTAGAGGTGGAATTCTTTATATTATATTAACTAATGGGGAGAGTAGTTGGTTAGATGCAATGTTCCCAAAAATGAGAAAATGGTTTGATGTTAATATAACCACTGTCATGATTAATGAAAAATTTTATTAATTTTATTTATAAAACCACTCAAAATTTTATTTACTTACTACATTTCCTTTATCATCAATTATTACATCTTGAGTCACATCATTATTTTTTACACTAATGATTATATTTCATAAAATATTAGAAAATTCTGCTGGATCCATAACCACTGATCTTGTACGATCAATTTGTTCTTTGCTAACACCAACCTCCGAAATCGGTAGACCAGGATCAATATCACTAGTTCCATCACCACCTCTGCGTACATTAATCTCAGACAAACTCAGACGACCTCTGCGTTCATGAATAACTGAACCACTTTCCCCAAAACTCCCTAACAACAAATCTCTTTGCCTCTCCGGTAAACCTATAAAATTAGTCCGTGTCAGAATCGGAATGGCCTTTGTTGGAGCACAATGCCAAACATCAACATTTTCATTAGTATATTTTTTAGATAATATAACAATAGATGGGGCCCTCATTTACGAATCTTCTGGCATGTCACTCATAGAATACTTCAGATACCCCTTCATTTTACAATATGTAATCCCTCTTTTAATATTCGAATTTTCAAGTCGATACTTCACCATCCATGGCACCTGTTTGTCGTTAATTGAACAAAAACCATTCCCATAATAGACTAACTCGCATTGACAATCCACAGGGAAAAAAAACCACGCATGTAGACTGTCATTACCATCTAACCTCCAGTCATAAACATTTACTCTAACCAACCCACGGGCATTGGGTGCGCAAAGCGGAGAATATTTTATCAATATTTTATCAACCTTAATACTCTTTTGTTTGTATCTTAACCTTAACTGAGAAAATAAATTAGGCAACACAAGTTTAATACAATTGAAATCACTTGCTGAAACACTTTCAACAACACCGGTTTTTATATCGTCCACCTCTTTTCAAAACCTAAACATTACAAATAAAAATACATAAATTATAATTCTAAACAGTTTTAAATTACATTTGATTCCTTAACGTAATTTTGCATTCTTTTCCACTAACAGTAGCAGCTGCTAAATATATGGCACCCTTCTCAATACTTTTAACATTTCCCAACAGAGTATCTTTGTAGTCCGTCCAAACATTAACTGGGAAGAACCGGTCCATAACTTCTATCTCGTGACGAACGTATTCTTTGTTCTTGCTACTAACGAGCTTGAATCTCATTTTATTTAGCAATCGAAACCGGCCGGACTGGTTAGGATCAACAATCCAGGTCTCAGGATTACTCTCGCCAACTCCAATAAATATCTTGTTAGGTGTGGGGACAGAATCTGACAGACTATCATCACTTATAACCAAAAACAATACGTGGTGGACCACAGCTTCGTCTTTAGCATCTTGTCCCAATTGAACATTCCCAATTAATTTTATGCCCTTAACCACAATTTTGTCTGATTGACGATCACATTTCTTAATACCCAACTCAATACCATTAAGCAATCTCGCCACACCTTTATTATCAAATTTAACGTCCCTTAATTGTTCATCGTATAGTTGTAACTTCCTTACTCTCCTTTTAGTCTTCTTAATATATCGAGGAATATTCTGAACATACCGTCTGCGACTGTACGCCGCCTTAAAAGGTGCACGACCACGGTAACTCCGCTTATATCCATCGGCCGTCAGCGTCTTTGACTGGCGGTACGCAAGGGGAGTCCGATACTGGCTGCTCATACCTCATTCCATTGTTTTACAGAGGGACTTTTCCCCTTGGATGAAAATTCTCCCCATTCTACGATGTCACCCCCTTTCTGTGTATACTGTCGAGTTACTGTTGGAGAATGGAGTTTTTTTATATTTGGATAATAAATCCTCCCGTTCGTTCGGGTGAGATCGAAAAATCTTGGGTTGGAGGTTTGGATCTTCTTCGTGCATTGAACCATGGCATGAAGATGAGGGTTTCCATCTTCGTGGAGCTCCCTTGCAACAAGTATGTAGTATGGCTGACATGCTAGTTGGAGAAGGGATTGAAGGAGTTCTAAGAGTTGTTTTTGTGGTTATGGGCATTGTGGGTAGGTGAGGAAAACATTCTTGGCATAGAAACGGAAAGAGGCTTGGCGAGGCATTTTGTAGTGGTAAACAGTGAACTCACACTAGCCGTACAAGGCCTCCTTATTAGTTACAAAACTTGGTATGAATGGTGTGAATGGTGTGACTAGGGGGGGCGTTGTATTAATATTACCAGCGCCCCCATCCCGTTGATCTGGGCCGCTTATT